AATTTTCTTAGCTGAGGGCTGAGAGTTGTATTCGAGCACTCTTCTACTTGTGTCGAGAATGACACCACATCGGTTATTGGACCACTGAGAATCCAGCCAAATATTGTTCTTTGCGCAAGTATTGTGTCGCAAATCTTTTGTATACCTTCCAGTATGATCTGTGGAAGTATATCGCTGCCGATTACCAAATCAGTTTGAGCTGGTATGTGACAGCTTGGGTCAGCAAGTTCAAGGATCTTGAATCGCTGCCAGTTTTCACGGCTAATGGTGAATGTAGGCATGTGCCTCGTGGGCTGAGGTAACACGATAGCCTGTGTGTTTATCCGTTGCATGGTTTTGGGTGCAACCAATGTGAGTGGACAAAGCTTTGAGGAGCTTTGTACTACGTGTCCACCCATGCCGGAAATTTCGAACTTGGAACGTTCGAATGGTAGTTTCAACCTTTTCTGAACTTTCGGGGAAATGAAAGTTCTTTGTGAGCCTTGATCAATCAAGGCTTTAAGTTGAAGCAATTCCGCCTCGTGTTCACCTGCGACTATGGCCGTTGGAAGGAGAATTTTGCTATCATTGTCGGTGTGCAATGATATTATTTGTGCTTGTTTGGAACAGCACGGTTGCTCGCTGGAATTGGACTGCGCTGTGGTTTGGGATTCATGTGCAGCAGGGAGTGATACCGTTGTTGGCAATGTGTACATGACCACTTGCTCGGGCACTCATTAGCGCTATGGGTATTACCAAGGCAGTTTTTGCACAGCTTGGCTTGGTTTGCGAATTGTACTCGGTTTGGTACCGAAATTCGCTTAAATTGTTGGTAGACTTGAATAGGATGAGGGGACTTGCAGTAAGAGCAAGTTGCTTTCCTCTTAGGTTCTACCACAAAGGTTTGAGTCCTGCTAAAGGACCTGTTTTGCGCAGAATTTTGATGAGCGACTGGTTTTTGTTTATTTTGGCTTGGATGAAGCCGGTTCAGTCTTTCGACTACTTCGTATCTTGAAGTAAGAAAATCGTTCATTTGTGACCATGAGGGTAAATCTCTTCGAGAAGAGAGAGATTGTTCCCAAAGTGACAGTGTGGTTTCGGGCAATTTGGATGAGCATATGTACACCAATATGGGATCCCAACTTTCTGTCTGGACGTCTTGGGAATTAAGAACTGACAGACAGTTGTTGATTGATGTTTGCAGCCTTCGAAGTTGCTCGCTATTCTCGGAATGAATAGTCGGCAAAGTCATTAAAATTTTAATTTGGTTGTCAACCAAGATACGTTTGTTTTCGTATCGTGACCCTAAAGCTTCCCAGGCCAGCTCGAAGTTATCATCGCTGAGCGGGTATTGCTTGACGATGGAGCCGGCTTTTCCTTGGGTTTTGTATCTGAGGTGATACAATTTTTGAACACGGGAGAGCTTCGGGTGGTTGATGTACACCGCTGTGAACATGTCACGAAAGGCGGGCCATTCTTCGTAACCGCCGTAAAATGTCTCCGTGTCACAAGGTGGGACTTGTAGAAAAACGTTTGCCTCTGCCGAGGTGTGTTCCACGCGGGGTGGCGATTGCTCTAATCAATGACAGCTGATCGGCAATTTAGCTTTGGTCACCTCATATAATTCAAGGCAAGTGAAGTACTTGCCTTCTACTGAATTCTTAAAGTTTTCGGGTAGGCTGTCATCTGGCTTTGAAAATACCAAGTCGTAAGCGGACTGAAGCCGTGCCCAACAATCATCTAGTGATTTGTCTTTTATCATGAGATACGATTCAGTGTCGTCTTGGATTGGCGCATCACTGAATTTTGCACAATATCTCATGGTACTGTCACTTTCCGCTATAAACTTTTGAGAGGATGGGTCAAAAGTTTTAGATTTCGGGCACGTTGAGGGTTCCCTCTTACCGCCGGTGGCTTCTTGTGAAGCACCTTTTGACTTTGTTTCCATTTCAGAAACTTTTGGTGGACTGTGTCCAAGTGGCATTTTGAATGTCGTGCAAGGTCGGACGAATATAAATTAATAGAAGATTTAATTATAAATCGCTGAGTACCAGCCAGATATCGTTCGCAAAAAATAAGTAAATTTGTGTCAAACGGAAAAATTGCACTTTGTGCCACAGAAAATCAAGAAAAAAATTATAAGATCTTGTGGCGGTGTTTGTGTTTTTGTTTCTTGCAAATTACGTGAAGTTGTATTTGCTTTAATCTTTGTTTCAGCACTTTTTAACGTTGAAAACGGAGCGTCCCAATTAAATCCGCGGAATATGGATTTGAAAAAAAAAAAGTTTTGTAAGAGAAACAAAATCACAAACACTTTTCACTGTTATATACGTGGTGAAATATACGTATGTATAAATATTTAATGTAAATAATATATAAACACTGAAGAAGTATTGGTTATATATCGCTATCTATACAAGTGGAATAAGGGGGTTTTCCCTACTGGGTTGCATGTATCTAACTATCTTAGGGCCGGTTGCTCAAAGCCTGGTTGACACTGCTCCCCGATGAAACATGGTTATCGACGTTACCGACACCGTGTTATGTATATGGAGTCGAAAACGTCGATAACGCTGTTAACCGGTGATTAGTGTCAAACAGGCTTTGAGCAACCGGCCCTTAAACTCACTTCGTATCGCGATATAATATGCGTTGGATAATATTTTTTGCTAGCACGTATGTACAAATGTGCAGAATGTGTAGAATGTAAAAATGTACGTACGTATGTATGTACAAATATTTACGTCTGTAGCCGAGTATATGGCTACGCTATGCTTTGTTACAGCAGTGGTGAGTTAAGAAGTACGAAAAAACAGAAAGTTTGCTTTGATTACAGTGCGTATGTATGTATGTGTGCGGGAATGCACAAGTGGATATGATAGTACGTAAAGAGCCGCTCACCGCTGAGGTGAGTTCTTGGTACCGAACGTATTCAAGTCGGTGAGCGGGCTTCGACTTACGTTCTCTTAGCTTGGTGAGTGCCGCAGAGAAAAGCGAGGTGGAAATATATGAAAATAAGCTGAGTGCGTTTGGTATATGTGGACTGTATTGCCCGATGAACAACAGCGACTCTCTTAACTATTAAGCGAATAGTTGCAGAAAATGCAACTTGTAAAAATGCGTATATGTGCTACCGAATGTACATATGGTTTATGTGGAAAAATGCACTTATGTTTTCGGCACTTTGTTAAGCCAAGTTCAACGAACTATGCGACCAACGGCAAAAATTGGTAAGCAGAGGAAAGCCTATGATTTTAATGTGCTAATATTTTGTTCTTCCACAGTGGGACACAGTAGGCATATAAACTGCAACGAAATTTATTTTGGGGTATATAATAAATTTTGCATATAAGTACATATACCTATATATATATAAGATTGGCGGTAAGTGGAGATATACCGCTTTCCGGAAAACGGAATTTTTCTACCAAAATTTTAATAGCGGCGAATTGCCGTTGTGGAATTTTGTGCGGCAGGAAAATATCCGCAATTTTAATAGAACCGTTTTTGGCGAGAAAAAATACGCCTTTTATTTAATTATATATATATATGTATGTATATACGTATGTATGCCCGTTGGCAGTTTATTAGAAATAATATAACTTTTAAGAATATGAAAGTTATATTATTTCAATTTTCAAGGAAATTAAAAATTTGCCTACTTACTACTTTCCTTGATTTATGTGTATGTGTATGTAGGCTTCTTTGCTTTGCCTGTTGTTACGGCTGATGCTATTGTTGGCTGCTGATGCTGCTGCTGATAATTAATTGTAGTGTTGTTGATGGCTGCTTGGCTTAAAACTTGCCTCGGTTTTTTGGTTCATATGATGATTATTGCTTTTGAAAAATGTGTTTTTTTTCCAAATCTTTAATTTTCAGTTTTTTTTTGCTTATGTGTATCTTTATGTTTTGTTATTTAAAATTCACAAAATTTATAATTTGTTTTTTGTTATTTTTTTTGTTTTCACTCTGTGTTAGCGATATGTACATTTGTGGTCAGCACAAGGGTAAGTACGTGTATTTCACTAGCATATATGTACATGTGTAGCTCTCTATGTATGAGCGCACTTTTGTTTTTTGAACACTTCGAGATACTTGTCTTTTGTGTTTAGTAAATATTTTTTATATAAGTTTTTTGCGGACGTACGGTTGTTTTCGAGTTTTTTCTTAATTTTTAATTTTTATTTTTTTGGAGCTAGGCTTTCGCGCTCAACTTAGTTTACACACACTGATTTCCGTTTAAAGGAAAGACTTCTGTTTCGCTTTTAAAAGTGTACAAAATTTAAACTTAGTTTATTTTTTGTTTATGTAAGTTAGTCAATTAATTTGGCAAATAGATTAAAACCCGTGTTGACACCGATGATTAGCTTCGACAAGGGCGCGTGCGCGTTAGCTGAACTGCCTTCTGCTCATTTTTTACGACGATGGGGAGGCGGCCGTGCGCGCTCGGTAATTATATTTTCGGAGTTGACGTCGGTCAACTGCCAAACTGCTGGATTGCGCGCACGGCCGTCGTATTGCGTTTTAAGCGGCGGCTTAAATATTCTTCCGCCCTGCAGAAATGCGCTGCTCAGGGTCTTCTGCAGCTCCTTTAGCGCGCGGATGGTGTTGTCCAGGACGCGGTTAGTGGTACGGTCCTGGTAGCTGGCCGTTTGCAGGCCTTGGGGGGTGCGCGCGATCGTCCTTTGGGCGGTCTTTTTGCGCAATGGTTGCGGCGCTTGCCTTCCGCGGTTTTGCGCATTCTTCTGCGCCTTCTGCTGTGCGGTCTTCAGAGCTGTCCTCTTCGGCGGTGCGCGCCGCTTGTTGCTCCTTGGGGCCTTTGTGGCCGGTTTTCATTGCTTGGGCCCTTGTTCCCTTGGCCCCTTGCGCGCATGGGTGTTGGCTGCCACATGCAGCAGCGTGTGGTGCGCTAGCCCGCTGGTCTTGCAACTGCCTGGTGAGTCGCATTCCCCGGTGGTGTGAGCACGAGGAAGTTGACGCAGTAGCCCTGCGCGCGGGCCACTCCCAACCGTTGTGGCGGCTTCATTGCTTTGAAGGCCGGGCACGTCCTCAAGGCGTGGTACCGGTGGCAGAGCCGGCATTGTAGGCAGTTATCCGTCTCTGCCGTTGGAGCCAGGGGGCATGCCTTCCGCGATGCCATGATGTCTTCAATCTGGAAGTAGAAGCACAGGCAGAGAAACGAGGAGTACTTGGGTATAATATTTAAGCGGGAAGTTAAGACCCTTAATATACAAAAGGAAAAGATGTATAGAATTATTTATTGTGCTTTTGGAAGGAAGCACGGTTTGACAAGTGGTCGCGTGATACCTCCATTTTGCGTACGGATTTCTACGACACGTATGTGGTTATCAGGGCCCTGGCGAACGTTTTCGATTCGTCCCAATCGCCATTCGGTGGGGGGGAGCGAATCTTCTTTGATCACGACGAGGTCGCCTGGCTGAGGATCGCGTTTTGGGGTTTTCCACTTGTATCTCTTCTGAAGATCTTTGAGGTAATCTTCTTTCCAGCGGCGACTAAATTGGTGGTGAAGTGCTTTGGCCAACGATAGCCATAAGCACGACAGAAAACTGTGAAGATAACACCAGTAGTTCGATCCAGTTTTTTTGGGACACTTAATAGTCACGTGCTTACCGTCGATGCTACCTATGCAATTTGGAGATTGCCACAAATCTTGAAATCCTTGAGCTGATTTTTCCCAAAATTTCCATTGTTGGTTCCGGCAAATAAAATCTTTCAATTTTTTTTTACATCGCCTCAAATACTTCGTTAACAATCAAGCTGACTGTTCTAAATCCTACACGAAAGCTATTACCAAATTGTGATAAATGAATCGCCAGTTGCGAAATATCTAGAAATAATACATTAATGGAGTGAGAGTAGGGAATACCATACACCATATTTAAAAAAAATTACCTTAAGGCAATGCAAGTTGTTCTTCGGGTCCAATGCACTCTCGAAATTGTGTGTCTGCTTTTTGAATCTCATTTTTAATAATACTCAGTACTTCATCAAAGCACTCAATAGTCATTCGGAAATATTTATAAAAACGAATATTGTCTTGGCGAAGCTGAGACATCAAAGTAGAGAATTCGCCATGTTCTTTCCGATTGAAATAAATTTCATGGATCCAGTTCCTTCTTTTCACGTTTTTTTTTTTTATTGTTTACTGCAAGGTAAATAAGCGCCAGCTCCTCATCAGACGAATCCATCGAATTTCTTGGCATTTATTTGAGGAGGTGCATCAAATAATTGGTGGTTTCCATCAATAACGTGGAAGAGCTGATAGAAGAGAGTTTTGAAGGTAATTACTACTTATTCAATTTACATGATCAAAATTGTAGGCATATTAAAATCATTTTTATTATTTAAAATGAATCTACATACATAAATTCAAAATACTCATTTTCAGATTCGATGTCATCATCCCCGACAAATATCTCGCCGCTTCCACGCCGTCGCCATCACCGTAGTGTTCATCACCACTGTCATCAGGAGCAAGAGGGGCAACACTTCCCCCATCAATATCTAGCGCAGCAATATCTGCCAGATCTGGAAAACAAAAACAAATGGATCGATTAGTGACGACTTGTGAGGGTATTCAAAGAAACTTTTCGGAGGCTATGGAAAAATTTACAAAATCGAACGATGAATTGGTCGAACTAGAAAAGGCAAAGCTAGTCGCAATGCAAGAACTGCAGAGGGACGCAAAAAGGCTAACGTACGGAGTACTAGATTTTTTAAATATATTTTAAGGAAATAGTATGTAGTAGTTAGACTGAATTATTTTGTTTATATTTTTAAAGTAGATTTTAAGGAAATAGTACATAAGGTTTTAAGAATTGCACTGAATTATTTTGTTTACATTTTTGAAGTAGATTTTAAGTATATAGATTTTGAGGAAATAGTATGTAAGGTTTTGAGAATTGGACTGAATTATTTTGTTTACATTTTTGAAATAAATTTTAAGTATATAGAAAGTAAGATTTTGTGAACTGAAATTCTTGGATTTGCAATTGTGATGCCATTTTTCTAGAATACTTTTTTCCGTTTTAAAAATTGAAAGTTTTTTTTACTTCGCGTCAAGATAAAATGACATGCACTGAAATAAACCTGATATTAACTTACTGAAATATAAACAGAACGCATTTATTATTGATTCAGCTTCTGCTAAGGTTTGGTGCGAGTCCACGGATTGTGGTTGTCTTCTCCTAATGTCATAAACGTGCTGCTCGTTAAGCCATCGGGTAATTTTCTGCTATTAAAGAGTTGTGCAAAGCACAACAAGCCTTTATAATAGAAGTTGCATTATTAATTCCTTTACCGATCCGGCGAAACCTTAATTTGTATACATATATGTAAAAATAATAAGTGTATTTAACGACCACTTCTATATTCACTTAATTACCTTGCTTTCAATTGCCCAAAAGCATTTTCAACCCCTCTCCGAGATATTGAAAGCTGGTAATTGCAAGCTTTTTGTGTAGGCGTTTTATCCAAACTGAATGGAAAAGGCTTCATTAAATAAAGGCAGCGAAAGGCAGCATCGTCAAGAATGCCGTCAAAATTTCCTAAATTTGTGCTCATTGTGTTCAGAAATGAGCAGTTCTCCAGCTCCCTTTTTAAGCAGGGCATGAATCACGTATGACGACAATCGTCTGAACGATATCGTGTCGCGATTGTGTTGCTTCATGAAAACCAAAAATTGTTTGATCGTTTGTGCGATATCGTCAACTCGATTCCAGTTTAGCTTCACGTAACAGTAATAGGTAGGAGGATGGTTCCGTGTGGAAAACTTTTGACTGCCATTCACCTGGGAATGGCCAGAAGTGATTCTTGTGCGTAAGGTTCAAATCGCAGCTCACAACGTCCGGATATTTTTATCCACGTATCCTCGGGGTAGCAACCAAACACCCCTTTGAGAGCGAGCTAAAGTGAGAAGGCGTAAAACTTCACGTGCGCTGGGTTTGGGTCCCTCCACGTTAAAACCCCACCTAATGAACAAGTACAAACAGCCTCGGAAGAGACCCCCTTCTTCTGATGACGACCACGGCAAACGTATAAAGGACTATGATTTAAGGGTATGCACCTGGAATATCCGGACCCTTAATGGGGAAGGTGCCTCTGCCCGGCTGGTTGATGTCCTCGGGAAGAAAAAGGCTGACATCACCGCCATCCAAGGAATGCGATGGACGGGGCAAGGAAAAGTAAGCGTGAAGCCTTGCGACGTCTACTAGAGTTGCCACGTAAAGGAGCGCAAATTCGGTGTTGGATTCGTGGTAGGACAGAGACTCCGTCGCCAAGTACTGGCGTTCACCCCGGTGAACGAACGTCTAGCCACAATCCGCATCAAAGCTATATTCTTCAACATCTCGCTCATCTGCGCCCATGCCCTGACGGAAGAGAAGGATGAGGCGTCCAAGGATCTCTTCAATAGCTAAGCGTACACTATAGAGAAATCTCTCGAGAGTTTTACTGAAATAAAAATCTCCTCTCTCAATTAAGTTTACACGGAGGAGTAAATCTAGGAGATATTGACTCTAGCTAGAGAAAAAATAGAGAAATCTCAACTTTTATCTATCACGTACCCTACAAGCTGTGTTCACGGTAGACAATATTTACCTCTCGCCTAGAGTTAGTTTTCTATCTCGAATTGTTGTCAACGCTTGGTGTATGTATATATGTATTTATGCCAAAGCCACGATGTAGAAAATTTAGTTGGCGCCATCAGCGGAGCAAAAATGTCCCTAAAAGTAGACAAATGTACCTAAAAATTAAACATGGTAACCTCTCTCTTCGGTACTATGTGTACTTTTGGACTCACATCAAACAGTTTCTCCGAGCAGTTCCAGCCAAACTACTATATACGTATATGTATGTAGGTATTCACCAAGTTGAGCAAATGGCCTGGCACTCTGACAAAACAGCAGATAACTGAAGCAACGACTGTTGCCAGAGTGCCAGACCACCTGTTCAGACGTTTTAACCAATAATTATGCCCCTTTGCAAAGGACGGAGGCTATTGGAAAAGCCATTGAAATACCAATGAAAATAAGAGGACGATGCTCAGTACATTATTTGGCTACGTTCTAAATGTACTTAAAATGGTGTCCTTGTATCGAATATACGATTTAATGTCGTAGCCATTTCAAAATTTAACAATCTGTAATGACGAGAGGACGAGCGTCTAGCCACAATCCGCATCAAAGCGAGATTCTTCAACATCTCGCTCATCTGCGCCCATGCCCCGACGGAAGAGAAGGATGAGGCATCCAAGGATCTCTTCTATGAGCGCTTGGAGTGCACGTACGAGCGCTGCCCCCGTCATGATATCAAAATCGTACTTGGCGAATTAAATGCCAAGGTGAGCAAAGAAGGGATCTTTGGAACCACTGTCGGAAAATTCAGCCTCCACGACGAAACGTCCGACAACGGATTGAGGCTGATCGACTTCGCCGGGGCCCGAAACATGGTAGTATGCAGTACTAGGTTCAAGCATAAAAA